ATTTCTAATAATTTTATGTAAGTGTATTTTTAAGCCATTGTTCTTTGGTCAGTTTTTCTTTATGTCTAGTTTTTACAGTGTTATGGCCTGAGGCCCTGTATGCTGAGTGACAATATAAATGCAGTTGATTGCTGACCTAGCTGTGCTGTGACCCATCTGGGATTGGCTTCTTCATCTCCTGACTCCTCCCAAGGGACGTCCATCTGCATCCTGGTTGGCTACTTTACCTCCACCCACAGATGAGGCCTGCCTATTTAAGCCCAGCTCTCCTGCCAGTCAGGGTGGTTGCAGCTTGCCATTCTGTATGGTTTCTTTGGACTTGAAAATGCTTGGCTTTGGCTAACAGTTAATTCCTGCTGTTGGAGTTGTTTGTTAGTGTTTGCAACCTTCTGAAGGCAGTCAGAAGGCTTACTAGATTAAAGCCTTTGTTGTAATTCTGTATCAATTTGGTTTGAGGCTTTACTCAATTGTTTAACATTCATTTTGTTATTCCTTAGAAGTTATAACAGTAACATCTTTGCTATTTGGTACTTTGAAAGCACTGCTGTTTTTGTTTATATTTGGTTAACTGACCAAATAAATTACTACGTTTATTTAAAAAAAAAGGGTTCAGATCCCGGACGAGCCCCCATTAATGTTTTGACCCAGCTCAGCCATACGCAAGTATGATAGTTTTAGTAGTTTATAGTTTTTTTTTAACACCCAAGATGGAACAATGACTTTAAACCACCCAGTAAATAGAAGTTCTACATACAACAACCAAAGTATCTGATGTGTAACATTATATTTTTTTTAATTTATTTTATTTTCCCAATAAAAATAAAGACTAAATAAAGTATCTTTACGGTGGGCTGGTGAAGACTTTACACAGTGCTTTGACTCTGGCAATACCAAAATTACAATTTGGCAAAAAAAAAAAAAAAAAAAAAAAGGAATACAGAACATTGTTTTGTGTCTATAAACTTGTGAAAACATTGTCACAGCAAATGTGTGACATTATCAGCACTAAAGAAGAGCTTTTATAATTTGTGTTTGTGTGTGTGTGTGGAAAGAGGTGATAGAGGATTGTTATGGATACATTTTTCCACTAATTTAAATAAAGATGATAGAATGTGAGACATGTTCCTCAAAGAAAACACTTTATAGACTGTCTTCATGAAAAAATAACCATTTTACAACACACTGCTTTAATATATTATACAATGTTACACTGTAAGTTCACATCTCCTTTTAAACATCAGATTTCAAGTCATTTGTTAAAAACTATAGATGAATACATATAGACACATGTTTCAAAGCATTATTTTTATTATTGTAAATGAAACATGTTTTGGCACCACTTTCCTGCAACACACCCAGCTACGTCAGCTTGCGTGTGTTATGGACACATGGAAGTTACAGGATGGTTAAATGATCCATTGTCATGAAAAATGTATTAACATGAATGGAAAGGAAAGGAAAACTTTATTTCTTTCATGTAAAACTTTTGTCTAATGCCGGAAAATAACACCTTGTTTTGTTTGGCTGTATTAATTTGACTTATAGTCCTTCAACATAAAAAACAGCCATGACACAGTTCTAATCTGTCCAACTCACAATTTGGACTGAATGCCTAACAGGTTCACTTGAGTGTGAACAGAAAATGATAAGGGCTTGTGATAAGATGGGACAGAGGATCTGCCGAGACAATACAATAGCTGAACTGAGCAGGCTCACGGTTTCAAAACCCCATCTGTTATCACCCTTATTCTTCCTGCAGCATGTATCTGATTGAATTAATGTACTCTCCTTTAAATGATAAAACTGCTTTTGTGTGGCTCATACAAATCAGAAAATAATTTTCTGACACCAAGATATACAGGCACTTGTGAACAGCTTTTACATGTTTTTATTTTTTTAGCCACATAAAAGGCAGCCATTGTGTCAGCCATGTAATTTATTGTTATAGCCAGTATAGGAGGCCAATAGATTTTTTTTTTGTCATTGTACAGAAGTGTATACCTATTTAGTAAAGTATTTCATAGCTAAAGTGAGACGTGTGTGTTTCACTACTAAGATCTATTACAACCGGTTTGGGTGCATGTTTTCCGTGCATAACCAAAACGCGTGTGCAGATGCCCTTAAACCAAGCCTTGTTACTCTAAATACATGTTATGCTGGTTTAACGGTGCTTTCTCAAACGTCTCTGGCACACTATCTCTTACTCATAGCTTTTTCTTGAGAACTACATTTTATAAATCATAGCCCTGAAATGAATCACACACACATACAGCATTATGCATGTCAAAGTGTGATTTGCATTGGATATTATCAGGCTTTGAGCATCCATGGGGGTATGTAAAGTAAGAATTTGTGTTCACCAGGCAGTGGTCTGTTAGGAAAATAAGGCTTAGTCGTAGAAGTAGATCAGTCTGCGTTATTTGCCTATGGAGTAACTGTACATTTACTTTCAGTTTTCCCCAAATAATGGCTCCTAGACTGCCCTAAGTAAACTCAGGATTTACCATGTTACAATTTACAGCTACCTTTTCTTGACATTTCAATATAAAAGTGTCCAAAACATAATGTGTTTCATGTGGTTGGTACATAATTCATATATGAAACAAAGGCTCTACGGTGAATATTTAATGATTTTCAATGGTGCTTAAATTTTGCTGCACAAATGGTACTCAGCATTCCCAATTTCAGTCATGATAAAAATAAAATAAAAAACTTTACAGTGTAGTTTTAACTTCTTTAGAAAGAAAACAGACGGTTACTATGTTTGATTGTGTATACACTTGAATTGAAAAGCAAATATAAACCAGAACAAGTAGAGCTTCGGAGAGACGAAAACATTTGATTGCTACATATGAGAGCATTAAACAGAAACAACAGAATATGATGACCATGTGCTTTAGTCTGAAGTGTTGCTCGTTTCATGTCCAACAACAATATGACAATCAGCAGCTGCGAGTTCAACCCAATTATATGCACTAATTGGTTCCATTTACTCTCAGGCTCCTATTTTTGTCATTTCCTAGCATCAACAATGAAATATAATAGAAGCTCTCGCACAATTGTCATCCATTTTTCTTCCATATGTTTTTCTGCATCTTTCTCGTTCCACAATGTTTGTGCTATCTCAACAAATGATTTGTCAAAACATTCAGCTCGTTCAGGAGAAGGGTGCTGTGACTTTTGATATTGGTGCAACTTTAGCTTTTTGAAATATTTAGCCTTTTATGTCATTTTTTTTTTCTCATAGAAAATGAAAAGAGCTCATTTTACATCCTTTAAATCTTTAGATCTGTTTACAACCTTTTACTGCTTCGTTCACATTTTGTTCTGGTTCAGCTTCTTTCAGCTTCTTTGTGCATTTTTTTTCAGCTACTTTCAGCTTAATTTCATCCGTTTTTTTTCAACTATTTTTTTGTGCTCCTTTAAGATTCTTTCTGCTAACTTCAACATTTTTGTGCTTATTCTAACTTCTTTCTGCAAATTTCAGCTTGTTATGCTCCTTTCAGCTTATTTATGCAAGTTTCAGCTTTTTCTGCTATTTCGGCTAATGCTATTTTTAATGCTAATTTTAGCTTTTTCAGCAAATGCTGTTGTGCTATTTTTAGATTTTTCAGATGATTCCACATTTTTTGGACTCATTCAAATGTTTTGCAGCCTAATTCAGCAAAAAATGTGCTCGCTCCACTTCCTTTTGGTAATTTAATCACATCAGAATTTGTATGTCATTTTCTATCATGGCTCTGAGATGGATTTTACTCACATTATTATTACACTGATGTTTGACATTAAAAACTTAGAGAGAAAAAAATAAAAGTGGTGCACTGGATGAATTGTAAAGGCATCTGCAAAGATAATGACACAATGAGGGGTCAATGAATGCCACTCTATGTAAAAGAGGGTCAAAAGCCAGATAACTTGGAGAGAAGATTAGATGTGAATTTGCTTGTGAACACGGGGCAAAGACAGAACCCTTTTATTGACTGCTTTTATCTCGCAGCCAATCAAGGCACAGTCGTTTGTTAGCTGTCTGCAGGAACCAGCTCGAGCACGCAGTGGCAAACAATTAACCGAGTGGCATTTCCCACAGTTGTGATAAACCAAAATCAAATGGCAGTATCTATAAGTGCACAGCTTTTCAAGGTTATAACAGATTTAAAACTTTGTCTTTGGTCACAGTTGGCTGTCGATGTTTTAAACATCTGTGCAAAAGTTGCCATATTTTGCATAACAAATTGAAGTCTACGTTCTTATCTAATCTCGAATTACATTGATGCTTAACGTTATATTACATACACACTTGTGCAATCCCTTTGTAACAATGGCTTTCATGAAATAGAAACAATTGCAAGATTTTTTTATTTATTTTAAACTTCAGCAAATATCTGCCCACCTTTTTTAACAATTTGATGAATTCAAAGCATGAAAAAAGTCAAAGCAAGTTTTCAGTTTGCCGTGAATGTTGTTTTACTGTAAATGCTGCACAGCACTTAAAGAATACCATTAGATTTTTGTATTTTATTATTTTTATTTTCATGTTTATTCGGCAATCAAGCATGTTTCCCAAAGGACACTTCACAGTTTTAGGGTCAAAACATTTAACATACACCAGGCTGTCACATGCACTTTGACTGCTATACAACATGTGTTCCTTTGGGACTTGGAAAACAAAGGAAAAACATGTTCTGATAAACACTTAAAAACAAAAAAACAACATTCCCTATGTTTTATGCTAGCTGTTTGACAAGTTAGTTGCAAGCAACATTTTTTCTGTAAAACGGTGTAAACGCCTGCTTAAGTTTTGACTTAAAAAGGTACAGTTAAAAAACAGTGCAGTCTCAATACAAAGAATTAAGTAAAAGGTAAAAAAAAAAAACAGCACAGAAAAACAACACACTTACTGTTCAAACACATTTATACATAAAATAAAGCAAATGAAAACTATCTTAAAACACCACAACTATGCACAACTGGATGAAAACCAAAATAAATATATTAATTTTTCACTTCTCTGTCTCTCTCCATCCCCTTGCATTCCTTCCAAACTTGTAAACCAGTCTGCGTCCATCTACTCGTTCTAGGATTTCCCTTTTGTAATAATATCTGTATCAGAAACAGAAAAAATACATATTTAGAATCATTTGAAATAGGTTAACAGGAAACTCTATGGTCTATAACATGGCTGTTCAACTAAACTGCTCAGGGGGGCACAGTTATTGAAAGCCAACAGTTCAGGGGCTGGACATCCAGCAGTTATTGTCATGAAGTAAGTTTGTTTTATGGTTTAAAATCTAGTTTTATTTAAAAATGAAGCCATTGGTGGGCAGAACTGAGCTCACTCATGGGCCTGATTTGGCCACCGGGGCCGCCAGTTGAATAGCCCTGGTCTATAACAGGGGTGTCCAAACATTTTCATATGTGGGCCGAAACCTTGATGATGAAAGGAGTCGCGACCCACAAAAATGTGAATTAAATAATTTATAATAATTATTATTATTAAATAATAATTTATTTTTTTTAACTCAGCATGAACAATATTTTGCAGAAAGGACAAAAAAATTATTGTAGATCTAAAACATTAAAAGCGTCATAAACAATAACGCTTTGTTACTTTATTTTTTTAAATTATGTATTTAATTTTATTGATTTATTGCCAAAAGATTGCATTCAACTTAGTATTGCTCATTTAGAGATTTTTTTTTTTCTCAAAAAAAATAAAAAAAATAAATAAAGATCAATAAATGTGCAAGCCTATGGGCCAAAATATGCCTTTTGTTAAACTGCAGTTGTGGGCCACACACAATCAAATGAAGGGCCATAAATGGCCCCCTGGCCACACTTTAGACACCCCTGATCTATACAAACAAACTACAAATACTCAGTTTAGTCGAAATAATTGCTCCATGGACTGTTCAGCTTTAAATTTACCAATGTTCTTAAACTGTTCTTTTTTAATTTCATCTGGTTTTGTAAATACTGAAAGTTGTGTATAAGCTGAACATTATAGATATGAACTGTTTACTTACTAATAAAAAATAAACCAAATGGAAGGGGTTTGTATTATTTGGTGAAACATTCAAACAAAAAAAAAAAAGTTTTTCAAAAAATCTATATCTGTGCCAACTGTTTTCTGAGCAAACCTTTATGACACCTGCACATAATTCGAGGGAACTTGACATAAAATCCAGCTTAGTGGTCAAAGTGACCCTGTGGTTGCCCTCAATGGTTGTGTAAAACTTTAAAACTCATTAGATTGGCTCAATCCAAACCAAAGCTGTTACTAATGCCATTGATTTCATGAATAGAGCATCAATGTTGTTTATTTCAAATAAAAAACGAATGCATATGAATAAAAAAAATGTGTAGTGACCAAATACTAATTTGTCATTGATGATAAATAAAAAAAAATTGAAATGGTGTATATGAACATTTTGGTTTAACATAAGTTAAACTTGTAATGTTGTAAAACTGAGTAACTCTTTCTTTTTTTTTTTGGTTGTCAAGTTGTACCCAAACTAAGAAAACATTTCTGATAATAGGCACAATATGATAACTGTTGCAATAAAACAAATCAAACAGCAAAACTGTGTTTATTTAGCTGAAAATGTGTCAAATAGAATAAATACTCAACCTGGGGAGAAATATTGATATATTTCTGTATCTGCAATAACTTTGCTGTATTTTCCCCACATTACTGTATTTGACTGTATGAAAACAAAACGTTAGGTTTATAGCAGCTTTATGTATTTACCTCATTGCACGACTTAGTTTCTCATAAGTCATGCTGCTGTTATTCTTCTTTTTCCCCCATAATTGTGCCACAGCCTCAGACTTCAGGAATCTGAAGATGCCCTCCGTCCGATCTTCCCACTTGATCAACCCTGGGTTTCGATCTGGGTTAATCAGAATGTCTCTGATGAACTCCCACAGGTGGGTCCCTCTCGGGTCTTTAGGGAGAGCATCAGGTGACAGTAGAGCCGTGAATGTACAGAAAGTAAGTTCAACTTTGAATAAAAGTGTGTTTTTATTACTCACTGGGCTTTTTGACTGGGTGACTTCGACTGAAAGACCGCTTAATTTCTTAATGAGACAAAAAAAGTAAAAAATTAATAAATAAATAAAAAATCCAAGTTGGGTGAATTTTATTGATAATTTATGCAGCTTCAAAAATATTGTTTTTATACATCAAATTGTACAGAAAAATGTTATCTTACCAGGACTGGAAGGGGTGGGAGACGCATCAGGGGCAAGTAAGTGAAGCGAGGGATCATAGATCTCTAAGGGAACAAGAAAATAAAAAAAGAAACTGTCTTTTTTCCCAATACAACTCATTGAAGTATGAATCTATTTACAAAAAGACATGATTAAAATACCTCCAGGTGGATAGCTGACATCTGGAAATGGACATATATCTGCTGTAAAAAAGGTATGTGTCACTAAAGGCAGAACAAATTAAAAATAACTTAAATGTTATTGATAAAATAGTTTCGTACACAAAAAAGTTTTCTTAGAACCTCTTACATTCAGGTTTAAGTTCCAGTTGCCCAATGTCCACGTGATATTGCCCTGTGTAGGAATAGTGAGGAATATAAAAGCACAAATAAATGTTATCTATTATTTGAAAATTGATTATTCATGCTATAACAAATGTAGCTCAACATTCAAAACCATTAAACTAAATCACTGCTAAATGCAATCAAAGTGTCCAAGGACCCTGAGAACACATAACAGAAAATCTTTTGTTTTTTTTTATGGCAAATTAGGAAATGCTCTACAAAGTCAAATTTTATTTACATACTTTGTAAAAAGCCAGAACATTTTCATTGTATATGTAGAAAACTCTGTAAACGAGTGGCTAATTAGCTGACAAAGTTATTTTCAGATTTTCTCTCTCGCTTTTGGCCTTCAAACTAAAAGTCTAAAAAACTGAAAAGGGGCAGAAAACACTTTTTTTTCAGTATACTTTGTTGTATTATCTCAGTTCATCTAAAAAAGTGCTTGTGTTTCCCAGATACAATAAAAGACTGTTTTGCTTTGACCTTGAAATTTTAGTTACCCTGCATTTCTCTGCAAACTGGAAGTTAAACTTGTTGTGCCAGGTCTTCTGGTAATGAACTTGCTTTCATTGTAAGATGAAAGATAAAATGCAACATGCTGGTCTTGTTTACCACTCAACAGCCTCAACTATGAAAAAAAAATCCCATTGTTTAGCACGGCACACGTTACAAGTATCAGTGTCAGCAAATTAAACTGAACTTTTTTTGGAGCTTTTTTTTTTTTTTTTTAAAGTCATCTCAGTTCCTCGTTCTTAACTTCACACTGTAGTTTTGTTGAAGATTCACTCTCCAGTAAAAACAAAAGAAAACCCATCATCTCCTTCACTTTAAGTGCTCCTTCGCCGCAGCTTGCAGTGAAGCCTTAAATCTGTTCTCTGAGCCCTTCTTAAACACAGATCATACAACTTGGAGTCCCTGGCTTGTCTTTTATTAGAAGTAATCATCTTCATTTTTGCCCCACACACCCCTGAATCTTGCTCCTAGACCCACCGCTTGACTTGAGCTCTGTGATGCTGTTGAAAAGAATGTGTCCCACGCTGCCGGCAGCACGGATGAAGTCAGGGTAGCTCAGACTGCAAAGATGATGGCCGTCCATGTCAAAGTTTTGGAAGGGAATGCTGGAGGCATCAATCTGGTGGATGTCCATGACCTGCTGCAGCCACTCCCACACCTGGTACTTACTCCAGAACTGAGGCTGGGAGTCATGAGACCACCTCGTGTAACTGGACATCACCAGTGCACCTGAACAACAGGCATAATTAGTAAAGAAAACCCTTCGAAACAATTTATTTCATTACAACGTTTTTGTTGTTACCGTATTCTTCGGACTATAAGTTGCACTTAAAGTCCTTTAATTTTCACAAAAATCAATAGTGAGCCTTATAATCGGCTGCACCTTATGTATTAATTCTGGTTGTGCATAACGACCTCGAACCAATTTTATGTGGTTGTTGTGAATGAGTTGAATAAAGTTTGACTTATGTGACTGTTTTGTTTTGCTTAATGCACCTCTTATACATTTTAATACTTTTGTTGGATGTAACTGGGATCCTGTGTACACAATTTTGTAATGACACAAAAAGAGAACCTTGAATCTGTAGCGTCCATCCAAGGCTTATCAAAGAGACAGTATGTCCCCAGAGACTTTGTGCCTCCTGTGCCCCTCCCTCTCTGCTAATCTGGGACAGATAATGGCATTCTGTTTTCCAGCTCAGGAAGTTTCTTAATTAACCTTCTCTGTGTGTTAAAATCTACAGTTGGGACCACCCTGACATGTTGCATGATTCTGGACCCCCTTCTGTGTAATTCACCTTCTATGTTGAGTCACCAGACATTGAGACTCCTGAAGAAGGGTCTTAATCAAAGAGCTTCACTCCGCCTTATCAACAGAGACCGGTTGCCATGACAATAAAGGAAGCTAACACCCAGTTGAAGTTCTGATTCAAAGAAACCCATTTTGTTTGTATCAGCATGGTGTCACCCTTCCTAACAAAAGGGTCATTGTATTATCTTCTATGAAGACATTTGAGAAAGGAGATTCCAATTAAATTAATTGTACAGTGGGATACTCCTACTGTAAGAAGCCCTCTGATTGGTTAAAAGTTAAGGGGCCTGTCTTCCTGGTGTCAGGTATACTGAATGCCATGGTAGAGAGTTGTGAGACGGCAGCCGATGAGGATAGTTGGCTTTGAATCATCAGCTGAGCTGAGCAGATGGAATGAGTGGTTGTGGAGAGTAGCAAAGACTCTCTGAGACACAACAGCCATGAGGAAGAAGCTGTCCTGGTGAAGAGTTGGCTCTGAGTCAACCCAGATGTCCTGGACTTCTCAAACACCCTACAGATGTACACTGCTGGATGAGCCATTGTCTTAGAAGGAAAACCTCCCTTTCGAGTGACAACTTGAACCTCCTCCCTCAAAGTCATCGCATCTGCTGTGGTAATGAGAATAAGCATCTCCGTGGTAGGACAAAACATCTTCCTTCTGTTGAGAGAACCACGAAACAGTGCCAACTAAGTTTGTTTAGATTCATGAATCTGAGATAAACTTACCTAAATTTTAACGTTAACAGCAGAACCTCAGTCCAAATTGAATCAAAACCCCTTCTCAAAGTCCTCAGATTTATGCCATTTACTTTCTAAAATAATATTATTGGTTGTTCATTCATATTCAAGATTTGCCATAATTTTCCATGCCATAATTCAAACTGAAAATAAACGTTACAGAATTGTATTTAACTTACGGATTCTTGGTGTTTTTTTCGAGGGACAGGAATTAAGTTCGCTACAAGAACATATGGTTTATATATGTTTGAGGTGAGGCCAGTCCAGAGTATGTGAGCATAAATACCTGTTAAAGGTTAGGAGTTTGACTGGACCAGAAGTCCAATATCCTGTACATATATTCCCCTACAAATCCTTATAATCCGGCGCACCGTATGTATGAAAACAGACCCGTTCATTGATATTGAGCCTTATATTTATTTATTTTTGTTTAACCTTTATTTAACCAGGCAAAATGCATTGAGATCACATATCTCTTTTGCAAGGGAGGCATGGTGTGCCTTATAATCCAACAAAATATGTTATGTAAAGCTTTGTCTTCTCAGTAAAACATCCACAGACAAATTGTCAATCTATATTCTTATTCTCAATAGGAGTTTACTGAAATGGCTGTTAGGGCATTTCTCTACTGGGAGTCCTTGTTTTGCGTTTCAGAGCTCTGGGCTCACCAGGTGAGCAATCCATCATTGCTAAACGATTTTCACTAAGTGTTCTAGCTTTATGGAACTGGATTGTTTAATAGCGAGCAATAAAAACCCTTAAGCAGAACATTTTACAGTATTTTCTTCAAGCATTTAGGATATTATTCAGACAATTGAATCAATGATTAATGTCAGCTATGAGTCCATTTGTAATCCCATGAAAGGATACGTCGAGTTTCATTCTACGCATTAACGCTCACCATCAGAATAGAGGCTGGTAGGTCCCCAGGTGGAGGTCAGCTGGCTGTCTAGGGTGGTGGATGGAGTTATGCTCATGTTGAAGATTTTACACGCGGATGTACCATGGCCCAGGTGCTGGGGGGGAAGAGCAGGTATATTATACAATTAATTGTTTAAAAGCTAACTTAAAAAAAAAAAAAAAAAGTTTGGGCTATTTATGTTTCCTTTCATGCATATACAAATCTGTCAACATGTTTGGGCACATTTCACAGTTTTAGCTGTGTTTCATATCCAGTCATTGATTCACATTTCCTTATTTCTGTATGCACAGGATAAACAGCATGTCTGAAGAATTTTCACATTGTAAAAATGCAAATAAAGAAAACTGTACTGGAGTCAGATCTACAGACATGGCTTGTCCTTGGGAAAATATTGCTATAACAAACCATTCCAGTGATGATATGTCACAGGTGTTGCAGCCATTTATAAAGGTTCAAGGTCCAAGGTTCTTTACTGTCATTCGCATCACATGTGGTACATGAGGTGGAATGACTGTGTATCCAAGGTCCCAGTTACACCCAGAAATAGCAAAACAAACAAACAAACAAACAAAATAAAGCATAAAAAGAAACAGTATAGAAGGATCGAAGATACACGCTAAACACTAACAATGTAAAAAAAAAAATATATATATATATATATTATTATTATTATTATTATTATTATTATTATTATTATTATTATTATTATTATTATTTATTTATTTATTTTTCAGCTGTTTCCTTCTTCAGAGGTCCCCATAGCGAAGTAACTCACATGAAGACTTGGCGATTATTTTTATGCCAGATGTTCTTCCTGACAAACACATATCACTGAGCTACCACAGCCCTCTGTGTGGAGCAGAGAGCTGCCATGTAGGGCGTCCGGGGGAGCAGATGGTGGGAGTTAAGGGCCTTGCTCAAGGGCCCAGAGTGGGGTAAATGAGGGTGGAGACAGGTGTGGGTGTTTCACCTTTCCCACCCACATTTTGATGTTGTCAGTACCGGGAATTGAACCAGGGCTCTTCCGATCACAGGCCCACCTTCTCTAACCTCTGCTCCACCACTCCGTCCACTAATAATGCACAATAATACAATACATAATTAACAATATAGGCATTTTTGAACAACAAGGCATTTAAATTGACTTGAGAAGACCTTCAAAATAAAATACTAAACCTCTAACTGAGCACCATAATGTTCCTTAAATGCTTCAGGCTGTTACCAAGATTAGAAAAGTTGTTGCTAAACCAAGCAGGCACAAATGTCAACTTAAAACTGCATTAATAAGTTGATATATTACATATAAATTTATACTGTTGCTGAAATAACCCTCATAGAGCAATAAAACGTAAATGACAGTCATTCTTTATGGTTAAGAAGTTACGCAAATGTGTCTGTTGGGTTTTATTTTTTTAATCAGTGTTCATTTGTTTATGCTCAATGCAAAATGGTTTTATTTATGTCAGTAAAGGGATTCGTTTCAGAATGTTTGCCTTTAGTAAAAGCTCAAACAATGTATGTGACATTATCGTTTTCATAGTGGCTGTCCTGTCTTCATGTGAGGTGATTCTTATCATCTAAATGAATGTACGGTCATTCTTAACAGTTACAGGTACTTCGAGATTTTCCCAGTTCTGCATATTGTAAATGTAAAATGTAAATAAAGACATGTTTCAGACTTAACTCAGAGTATTTGCATGCGATGCAAATATGCTGCTATTAGAAGTTCACCAGCTTCACTGTTTTGGTGGCTGCAGTGTTGCATGTGTACAATAGCTGAATTGTAGCATTCTCAGTTCCCAGGTAACCCTCTAACTGTAGTTTTCTGCCACACAGAGTTGCTTTCTTTGAACACAAGTTAGACAGTCATTGAGGGAAATCATGTTGCTGAGATGAACAGCTGCTCCACGTTTCTCTTTCTGCCATGATTGCATTTTTTTTTTTTTTTGTAATTAGATGTTCTGATATTTAACGTAAACGTCCCAAACGCGAAAAAAAGAAGTGCTGAATAAAGGTACAGTGAACTCTCAAAGGTCGGAATGATGACTGACCTGTTTTAAGTGGCTACATAATAAAACCAATTCCCGGCACAGTTACTTGTTAAGCTTTTATTGAAGGTAGTAAACAAACGTACAGCAAACCTCGTCATGCTCTGGATTTCAATCGACCTGTATCTATGACATATTCTCAAACACTTTGCAAATTAGTTTTATAACAACCCGCAGCAGAGATTTTTGAATTTAGTTTTTTTTTTTTGCGATAGAGACTGGTACCACATGCCAAACAGGATCAACTCCTCACCAGCCACGTCCGCTCACATGCTGTGTGTTAACCCTTCTATCTACTACTGCCAAGCACGTAGCTTATGAAGAACGCTGAGAGTCATTTACGTCAATATAAGAGTCATGCCGCGCTGCTAAAGAAAACAAGTTTTATAGATCGGTTTCCTTTCAGCTGCTTCATAGTAAAAGATCAGTTATTTGCTCTGGAGATAAGGTGCACTGTTTATTCTGAAGTTCATCTTGGCAGTGTGTCGCAATAAAACCTTTGTTTTCACTTTCATTATATTTGTACTTTCAACGCTGCACTGAGGCTTAAGAACGCTCACGTTTTCCGTCTTCATTGTCACATGTCTTATGTTCTTCAAAAGTAAAATCAAATCAATATCTATGATTTGTATATAATAATAATACCAATAATTAAAAACAAGTTTCTGTAGCATCAAGAGGCTGTTCAGAGGTAAAACGTTCACGCAGAGAATAAACTAAAGACTAAACGAGGTTACATGAATGTGTCAAAATTGATTTGTACTTATTTGTTTAACCTTTTTTTTTTTTTTTTTAAACATGCAGGAAAATCTCACGGAAACAAAAGGAGAAGAAGAAAAACGAAAAAGAATAACATATTTGTAATACGAGTAGCTTGGGAGTTTTGATGCAAGACCTTAGTGGTTTCTAAGAATTTAAATTTCGGACTAAATTGGAGCATAATCCTTCAGATTCAGCATGCTTAGTTTTGTGTTTTTGAGGTTTTAAATTATGTGTAAAGCTGCAGACATATTTTAACAATCTATGTGAAAACTAACTTTTGTAACAAGAAAAAAACTTAAAGCAAAAATTTAAAACATACACAAATAACTTAAGAGTAAAATGTACCAGAGCAGAAGATTTGGGTCCTACTGGACTGGTGTACCACGTAGATCCTCTGCTGACCCAGTACGGACAGATCAGTTCAGTTTGTGGAGATTCAAGTACTCCGCTCTGCTTCTGTTGAAAACTTGGTGATGTGAGTTGTCTGACTTTCCAAATCTTCGGAACAATGAATGCATGCAGACACTACAGGTGCAACCTGCCACAATGGGGGTTTTATCCTCTTTACTTCCTTATACTGCTCCAATTGGTCCCTGCAGGTTCGTACAAGGTAGGTATTTACATAATGCACACCCACATACACCTACGCATACACACACACACCTGACAACTTTTACACTTCTTGTTGGTAAATTTTCTCTGATACTTTTAAACACACAAAATGGCACTTCCTTCAGTTAAAAAAAAAAACAAAAAAAAAAACTTGCATGTGTGTGTTTAATGCTTTTATGATGTCCTGTTTGTGTATTGTGTTCTCACTGTTTGTAGTATGTGCAGCATTTTGGCCAAACCCCGTTGTTTTTAAACATGCTTTTTAAATAAATTAGATATGGTCTGATTTTAGGAAATATACATAGAAATTCAACCAAGCACATTCAGACACCCTTCTTTTCTTTTTGGCTGCTTCCTTTTGCAGGGGTTAATGCAGACTAGGTTTGAACCTATTGAGCTGCCAATTCATGACCGCCCCCCCCCCCCCCCCCCCCCCCAAAAAAAAAAAGAACATTTATGACCGCTGTATTTTTTTTTTTTTAGCTTGTACTTTGCAAATGAATTTCATATTGTGTGCATGTCTGAATGATTTGTTCTTAGGATGAACTGAAGTCAGTAACATTCAGATTTGTGTAAGGTCTCAACAGGTTGCTATAACATTACAATTGTACCAGCTGTAAAATGCCAAGGTATTCGAGTTAGGACACACACATGATTGTCTTTGAGTCCCTCAAGTCTCATTAAGCATCAAACAATGTTGACATGGATGAATTTATAGCATAAGTGTCACGTGTACTTTGAATTGTGTGTTTGATCAAAATGTTCTCATTCAGGTTTTGTACATTGCTTTTTCTAGTATAAGTTATAGTTTACGGATGTGAGAGCAGATGCTGTAACATGTATGTTACCGAGCGCAGACAATGCAATTACTGTCTACAAAACATCTCACTAGCTTGTCTTGTTTAGGTGATTTTTTTTTTTACTTATTCAAATGTATAAAGTACAAAGTGCTTGCCTTTTAATAAATGCATCAGAAAAATTGTCTTTGCAGGAACAACTGTGTCGAAAAGCGATTTTACTCAACTTTGTTTCTCTTTAAACTGTATTGTCATCACCGAGAGTGATCAGAGGGCGTTCAGGCATTCTGTTTTTGTTTGGCACCAATTATGGTTTGGACAAATTTGATCATTTCTGATCCGAGATCTAAATCTGATCTGCAGCATCGTAACTGTGCAGTGCCTTCTGAGATCAGAAGAATGAACGTTACCATGTTGATGACGGAGACAACTTTGAACCAGGTTGAACTGAATCACGGGGAAAAGCCTGTTAAGGAAGTTTGTCAGACTATTTTCAGAGCTTTATTGGCAGAGTCAAGAAACAAGCTTTGATGCAGAACAAGTGAATGCCATTGATTTATTAGTTCATATTGATTTGTGAGCAATGTACCAGTACTCATATTACATCAATCACAAGTTTTTTTTTAAGTTTAAAAAATCAATAGAATGTAGAAAATAAATAAATGCTCTGTTAAACTGCACATTTCAATATCCAGGTAGTCTTACATTGATTGCTGTTCCTCATAAGTTCTATGATCCCACATACCTGCAGCTTCTGCATGCTCCTCAGTTCATGCTGAGCTCACTCTCGAAGTTCCTATTATCGAGCGTGTGTGATTTGGACTTTTCCCCACAGC